AGCACTACAACCAATAGACTGTTCGTACAATGCTTTCGCCTCTTTCTAAATTTTCTGTCGAGTGAATGTAATATCATGGTGCGTCAGATACAGTTAAAGCTGTCTCATCTCTTGACTAACATCGAATAATAAAATGACAATGAGAATTGGTTGAAAACAAAACTTTACAACATGAGAGATGATTTATGTTTTCCAGTTGTGAACTTTCCATTTTCATGTATAGCAACATTCTAGCAGCGCTTGTATATATAGTATATATCTTTCAGTTTACACGAAACTCCAGTGCTTGTGTTCACTATCATAAAGATTCCAAGGGGTCTTCAAAACGCATAAATCGAAGAGAAACTCACAATGCCAGGGCAAAAAAAAATCGTAAAACGACAGAAGATCATTCAAGATCTCAAAAAACTTCATAGAAAATTATTAACTGAGCCACACGAAGCCAATCGAAAACAGGGTTGGTCTCATTTGCTCCGGACGGGTTAGCAGAATCTGCTCAACATGTGACATCCGTGGTGTTATTCCTAAAGATACGTTGATAAGTGATCCCATACTATATCAAGTGATTAGGCATTACGTAATTGCTGAGTGGTAAATATTAGTCATAACCAAACCCGTTAACCCTAAAAGTTGACCAAATGTGAAATTTGACACCGGAAATAAAATGATGAGCACAATTTTGAATGTGTTTAATTGTCTTTTCTTACTATAGCATTCTAATATTGATATGGATTGACGATTTGTTTAAAACCAAAATGTATCCAACACATTGATGTTATTTTAGACTACGAGTGTAATTATACCCCACGCAACAAAGTTGCGTAGGGTCTTATGTTTTTTACCGTCCGTCTGCCTGTCCGTCAGTCCTGTGCAACTCTTTTGAAATCAAGGAGTTATGCCCTTTGAAATGAGAATTTTGGCTTAAATATACTTCTGCAACAGTTTGTCATCGAAATTCCTCTGAAACCACACAACAGAATTTCATGTAACTTTGTAGATTATAAGAACATACTATATAGATGTGCATATCAACATAAAATTATGATTCAATTTTTTTGCAAGACATTATGCACGTTTGAATTTGTAATTTTGGCCATAATAAACTCTTTCAACAGTTGTTAGCGCAACTCCTTTGAAACCACACAAAAGAATTTAATGAAACTGTTTAGCTAATAAGTAACTACTATGTAGATGTGCATATCGACAGAAAATTATGAATCATAGTCTTTTCTAGGAGTGATTACCCTTTGATCTTAGAATTTTGGACATGATACACTACTGCGGCAGTTTGTCAGCGCAACTCCTCCGAAACCACACAACAGAATTTTATTCAACATTGTAGATAATAAGGACATATTATGTAGATGTGTATATCGACAGAAAATTATGATTCAATGTTTTTTCAGGAGATTTAGTTTGCCCAATGACAATGTGGGGGGTTGGGGTATGTGAGCGTGCTCACAAAGGTTCTCTAATTCATAATATTAATATCTAAAGGACATAGGTTCTTCGTGAAATTATGTTTAGGATTTTATTTATAAAAGGATTTCATTATCATGTTTCCAATGAACATTGTTTAACGGCTTATATTTACATTTATCATCGTCCTTTCTTTTTTACACAAATATTTTGCAGAAAAAAGAATATGTTAGATCTATAAAAATTGATCACTTAGAAGTACCTTTCTTAAACGCTATTTCACCAAGTTAAGTTCTAACTTTATTTCCGACTTAGTCAAAAATTTTATGATTTTGTTTTGTATTTCATTGGATCACTAATATTTGACAATCTTGAAGTTTGTATTCCATATTTTTGTATGTTAGATGTTAATTTATGGTGTTGTTGTTGAAATATACGGATGTTGATAAAATATAAAAATTTCTAGCGAGTTTGAATCCATCTTATATGCAGCTTTTCCCAATATACAATGTTATTCCCAGCGCAACTACATTGTAAAAGAGAGGCGGAAGATACCAAAGGGATGTTCAAACTCATAATTAGATGAAAAACTGACAACGCCATGACAAAAGAAAAACTACCAAAAGACAATAATATACAAAAGACAACAAAGAAAACTAAAGACTGGTCAATTCGATCCTTACCAAAAATCAAGGGTGATCTCAGATGCTCTGGGAGGAAAAGCCGATTCCGCTTCACATGTGTCACTGCTCCGGGAGGAAAAGCCGATCCTGCTCACACATGTGACACCCGTCGCGTTGCCTATGTAATTACAAGGTCGGTAATAAGTCTAATTCGGTCACATATGAGGAAAAGAAAACAGGTTTCTGGTTACGACAATTGGAACATGTCCGTCGTCATCTGTGACTCTGATATCCCATACTGTTAACCAACTCGTGATAGCATTCGTAGATGTTCCGATGGAGGGATGACCTCAACTTTATCACTTAGAATCCTTGGTTTAAAAGCTTCTGTGTTAGCAGTAACCCTATATGACGAATATCATAATAGAAAATGCAGGTTGTGGAATATCGTTTCAACTGTCAGATGTATACTCAATATGCAGGCGCAGTTGGAATGTTGCTACATAGGTATTGAAAGTTCAGAATTGGGAAGCTGAAATCATCTCTTTTGTCGTAGTGTTTTGTTCTCAATGACCCTCATTGTCAATTTCTAGATGTAAATCAAGATATAAAGCACACTAAACTGTATCTGTTGTATCCTTTATTTCAAGTTCGTTAGGATGGATGCGTTCAAAATAGGCACCAAACTTTGAATTATTTAGTGAGAAGACATACATATATGGTGGAACGTAAAGTTAAACGAAAATGCTAGCTTCTGCTCATTCTTCCTAAGATTCTCTTGTATGAATTTTGCCTAATATGAATAAAGTGAATAAAGAAACAAGTCGGCAATAAGAGGAGCACAGTTGATGCCCATGGGAATACCGATTGTTGGGTGAGAAACACGTCCTTTAAACGAAATAAAGATGTTGTCAAACCAAGAAATCAAGCATCTTGATAATGTCAGTTTCAGAGTTGGTTATTTTCAATTAGAGTGGTTTGTCTACAAAGTTAAGCTGTCCCTCCCTAAAACCAGATAATTGTATCTACGTTGGCCATCCTTTCTTATGAAACAAAGTTAGCCCATTATAATCAATTTGTCTTTAGGTTTAGGATGGGAAATACTTGTGTAAAAGGTAGAAAAGTCAAATGTGTTTATACCTTTGCAAGAGGAAAGAGACTTAGATCTAACAGAGCTTTGAAATTTTTTGTTATCCACATCTGATTCACACCTTCCTAGAGTAGGGAGTTTCACAATAATCTTGAAGCCCGGCTTTGATTGCTGATAAAATTGATGTTAACAGTACAGATAGAGGCATCATAGTGCACTTGAAAGACCCAGCAACACAGAGTTTCTTGTATTGACACATGAAGTAATTTTGGTATACAGTGAAAGAAGATCCAGATCTGCATCTTTGGTTGAAATACGAAAGGAACATACAACAAACCTTTGATTATTCAGGCTTTCCTCTTTAGTAAGTTTCGTCGGGTGTTGAGTTTCAAAGTGAATTGTCAATACCTAGTTCTTTTATCAAGCAGTTAATGTAACGTGATTTACACGCAAAAAACTATGTTGTCTAGGGCTTTATCTGCAGGGACAACAACATATTTTCATGTAGGAAGAACAGGTGCTTACCAACATTTTGGTCTTTAAAGATCGATGTAGCATGTGTATTCAAATACCCACTCATTGTTTTACTTCTTATTTATTTCAACAACCTCACTGCCTCAACCCATTAGAAAAGAGTATATACGTCTTCTTTTTCGCGTTAAACCCATTGCCTGGCCTTATCATCAACTGAATTCATAAGAATTTGAAGTTGTGTTTCAAATTGATGGATTTAGACAGAGTGATTGTGAAATAAGATCAATGAACTCAAAAGATAATATCTGATATCCAAAAGAATGTCAGTGATCACTTGAAAAAATAAGAGAAACCTTTAAAGGGGTATTATCTACGAATTAGACAAAAAATAAAAATATGATTTTTGTTGTTTCAAATATTTGTTAAAGCGGAATGTAGAAATAATATTTCGCTTTTAACAGTAAGTTTTGTTCAATTTCGTCCAAATAAGATGAAATAAAAAATCAATGATGTGTTATTGGCTGGAAATTCAATAATTCAACTCATTTGAAACCGTATTCATGCAACTTTTAATTTGACCTTTAGGGGAGAAGGTTGCGCAATTTTTTAGCATGCGTTTTTTTTTCATTAAAAAAAAGAATGTCAACATTGAAAAGTGGAACAGGGAGACACCAGGAATAAAACTTATTTGAATGATCCGGCCCACAAAAAAATTATTCTTATGCAGGTACAAAGATGATATACTGTACATCATTTTTTTTAATTTATAACATGAAATCAAGCAGACCTAGAAAAATTGTCATTGTACGAAAACACGTGTTTGTCTGTTTATTCATATATATGTTACTATTGGGTTACATGAACGTCGGCAGTCTTCGAGGATCATCTCGATGAATAATTAGATGGAATCTAGTCTAAAATAGGCATGAAAAGTTGATACATTTAAACGATTTCATGCATTGTTAAATGTTTCTTTTGGACTTTTAGTAATTTGAATATGCGTTTAAGTTTGTTATAAATCAAATATGAGAATTTGGTTCAAATTGGTAAACATAAATTTGACCAACGGTTTTTGATGGGGTTCGTGTTGCTCAGTCTTTTAGTTTTCTATGTTGTGTTTTGTGTACTGTTGTTTGTCTTTTCGTGGTCGTGTTTTGCCATGGCACTTTCAGTTTGTTTTAGACTTATGAGTTTGAAGATCCCTTAAGTATCTTTCCCCGCTCTTTTTGACAGCTAATGCATCAGTATTAATTCGATTATCGTTATATCAGATATAGTTACGGCTTATTTGGTGTACCGAACACTAGTTAATAATTTGTTTGTCTAAATTTGTCATTTGGATATCAATATCATCCTTAATGTTTGAACTTAAAAGTTAAGAAGTAAAGATACCGTTCATATTTTGTTTTTTTTAATTTGGTCAGTCATTTCGCCTGCTGTCGTTTGCTTTCTGTTCAGAAGCTTTGCAGACAATTCGGTATTACAGTTAAATGACAACTACTGTGCAGTCCTAAAGTAGACTAAAAAAATCTTAGTAAACTGCATGCGAAGTGTTTAGTAAATAGTACTAAATTTACAGCTGTGGATCAGTCATAAAACTACGAACGGACTGAACGTTGCTTAATAACTAGTGATTTGTCATGTTGCAAATCTTTTTAGCAAGTCTTACTCGAATTCAATTCATTTGACTTATTTTTACACGCGTCTGGCGTACTAAATTATAGGGTGGCATAATTGATGGGTATATATCAAATTTCACAAAATTTGAATTAATGACAATATATTTTTAAGCTGTAAATTGATTCTTTTTTTCTTATCATCTTTGATTTTTCCGAAAGATAACGTTATTTAAAACACCTGAACAATGATTCGGTTTTAAAGAAATTTGGCAAATAACATCATACATTGGTGTCTAGCAGCAGAAATAAATCCTTGAGAAATCGTACCATAGTCTACTGATATAATAATTGAAGTTATACAATATTGATCCGTTTTTTCTGTATAGAATAGTTTAAAAATCGGATGCTAATAATTTTGGATTTTAACGTTAAAGGTATAATCGATTTAAACACAAATAATTTGAATAGTTCCTCTTTTACTGAGTTTCATATTCTAGTCAATTTGTCGAACAACCTGTAACTAATTGCAGCACAAAGTGTTTCTCTAAAAAAAAGTCTGTTACTCTCTATGAACAATATACTAAAAATATACAAAAATATATTTTGCGGAAAGTGGTGTAATTTATCAAACCTTTTTGGTAGTAAAAGTAAGGTTATCTGAGTTGTTTCCCCTTATTTGGCAAAATTGAAAAAAATTGAATCATACAAAAATTCTGTATTTAAAAAAAATGTTCTTTTTAATGATAAGATGAAACAGGTAATTTTCTCCATTTAAAGAAAAAGCATTACAAATGAATCACATACCTTTCTTAAAATGTGTATATTTTATTAAAGATATAGACCGATTTTGTTCTGACCCTAATGGGTAGTCAAGGTAGTAAAAAACCACCCTGGGTTTGATTTACCGACCGTGCGAGGGCTTTTTATCCAGTCAAGGTCGTTAAAAACCCCAATAAGTTAGTCGGTTTGTTCTGTTATTTTATGATATTATGATAAAGCTAATCTAATTAGTTAATTTACTAAATTATTAGTTTCCAGTCAGATTCATTTTCACTTAAAGATAAAATAAAAAAAAGATACATATTCAATAAAGTAAAGAAACATTTTTACACTAAGTGTGCTTTAAAATAAATTTAAAACATTTCAAGACAAGAAGAATATATACTTTGATAACCTTTTGCAAATAAGGATAATATTAAGTGTAAACGATAAAAAATACAGTCCTCTACGAAGATGAACTAATGATACATTATGAGATAGGTTTCCAAATACCTGAAAGACTCTTCAGTCTTTTACGAAGCCAAAATCTGAAAGTTGATTTCATTCCCTTTGGTATTAATAAGATAATGTTGTAATACCTGGTATCATACAAACATGAATTAACTAAGTTGCTCACAAAAAAGGACATGTCTAATAATTATTGTTCAACCATAAGAGTAACCTCATATTCACATAAAAATTAATTAACAAATACGTCTAACATGTTTTCATCATCACACTTAACGCAATACTAAAAATAACCCGCATACCATCGAGAATATCACAGCATAAGTAGACACATGCGGCCTTGAAGCTTCAGACAAAATAGTAAACTTTCCACCAAAACCGCCGTAATAAAGTTTGTTAGGTTCAGGAACATTCTTGATATTTTCAGTCATTAGTTTAACCTGCGTTGTTACAGCGGAATTGTCACTCTTGATTGGCCTATTTGGCGGGGAAAGTGTTGACGTTTTTGTTTTATCATTGTTTTGAAATGTCTGCTTTTCGGTTGTTAAGTTGAAACCATTCCGAGATGTTGGTAAACCAGAAACCATTGGTTTAGTTGTTGAAGTTGTTTGCAGTTTTATGGTAGAATTGTGCATCTTGAATGAATTATTAGACGGAGAAGAAGTTGAAGTTTTCGTTTTAACATGGTGTGAAATATTTGGTTTTACTATTGTAGAGGTCAAACCATTCCAAGTTGTTGGTGATCCAGACACCATTTGTTTTGTTGTGGTCGGTATCTGGACTTTAGTTTGTGATTTAGTTGGTTGGGATGGTGTTGATGTCCTTTTCATCGTCGCTGATTCTGTTACAGAAAAAGCATCTGGTGTCGATGATCCGACATCTATAACTTTTATATATTTACTAGTTGTTCCAGTTGGGTTTACTGTTGATAAAGGTGTTGATGGTTTTGTCGAACGCATATTCATGGTGGAGGTGGCACTTAACGTAGATGGTCGTTGTGTTGTAGCTGAAATAAATATTCTAATTTTGATGTACTAATTATAAAAATAATGATATGTGGTATAATTGCCAATGAGACAGCTCTTCACCAGAGACCAAATGACGTAGAAGTTAACAACCATATATCACCGCACGGCCTTTAATTTTGATTAGTATTTGTGGCAATATTATTTTATTGTTCAAATCTTACATCAGATTCCATGGTGTTTTATTATCTCAACAAACAACCTATGTCGCTTCCTCTATGCTCTTCAACTTCGTACTTATTTGGCCTTTTAAACCCTTTTTTTTATTCGAGCGTCACTGATGAGTGTTTTGTAGACGAAACGCGCGTCTGGCACAAATACTAAATTGAAATCCTGGTATCTGTGATGAGTTTATTTACATGGTTTTATACTCAAAGTCATAAATATTTGTTTTCCCAGTTTCTATGGGTCTGTAAAAAGCTTTTCCAACACCCCTCCTCATCAAAACAAAGTGTTACAAAATAAACATATGCTCCTCGAATGGCACATTGATGGATGGTCCCCGACATGCTCAAATGTATACCTGAAGTGATAGTATTTTTGAAACTTTATTTGATATAAATGCTGGCTACAGATCTCCAACATTAAGAAAAAACTTTAAGGGTTCCACTTTGAAAAAAAGTAACAGGAATTACCCCGGAACCCAGCTAGCCCACCGGACATATGCAGTGGCGGATCCAGAAATATTCATAAGGGGGATGGGGCCCACTGACTGTCACAAGAGGGGGCCCGCTTAGTCATGCTTCAGTGATTCCCTATATAATCAACCAAATTTCCCTCACAAAGTCCCCCTAAATCCGCCTCTGCTATTAGGTCACGTGCCCTAAACATTGCCGAAAATAACAAACAGTTTTGTTTTAAAAGATTTCATCTAGAAACCAAGCTTCTGGAGGAATTTCAATCTAAAGATGACTGTCATGTGTTAAAATGCCTGCTTAACAACTCTGATATACAGAAACTATTTCAATGGTGACCTCAACCGTTTACTATTTTTTTACCCCCCAAAAAAAATCTATCTCTTGACCTGAAGGAATCACCAAGAAACAAAAACTGCACCTCATATTTCCATATTGTTATTTTTTATTTAGCTATTATGAACTTTAAACTTTAACGTTAAAACCGAGGATCTTCCACTTTTTTCAAAGCATAATTTTTAGAAATCTTATTTGTAAACCAACTAAGGACTTAACAATTTCATCCAAGAACAACTTTCCCCAAAAACCTCTTTTTCCGTAGAAGTCACCTTGAACTTTTATCTATATATCCCATAATTAATAAGCTTCTTTCAGTATCAGTGTAATTATAATCAATCAAGGGAAACCAAAGAATTCATAAGAAAAGGCATTTTTATATAAAAAAACATCTATCATTGGAACGACCCCGAACTTTGGCATATTGACACTGAAATCATATTCTATAGGTATAAGTTTCAATTATATTAAGCAAATATAACTAAAGCATGTGTTCCGGACGTACACAGCGAAGACTATAAGGTCAAATCATTTTTTCCCGTGTGGTATAAAAAAGCAGTTATTCCAGTGAGATGTAGGCGTGGGTTATGCAAATATGTCTGATATATATCAAACTACATAAAAAAAAGATGAGTAAAAACTTATTATTCTACCCCTCTTAAAAATAAACGTAATCCAGTTTTTCCCAAACTACTTTCATAGCATATGACACAGTATGTTAATGTTACCGTAATATATTCGTGCACGGCATATGCATGGAACATTGGGGTTCCAACAAAGTTATAATTGAAAAAAAAACAACAAATGTTTAAGTAAAGAATTATACGGATTAAACCCATTTCTTCGGAACGTTATTGATGTGTTAACTGGATCACTAACTCAAAATCTAAACATATATGTCCTTCGAACTTTTATTTAGTTTGTGAGTTAATCGGTTCAGGTTACAAATCAGAAACCTGAAACATATTGTGTTTAATCATATTATCAAACTAAATACATAAGGCTAATATAAAAAAGCCAATTAACTAACATAGAAATCATTATGCAAATGCAAAAGGAAAAGGAAAATCGATGTATTCTAGACGGATCTGTTATGTCACAAATAACTGACTTCGCAACGATCCTTTTTATCATTGCCATTTTACAGTTGAATAAATACTTACGTTATTTTTTAGTAAGGTTGTGTTGTTCATTCTTTAGTTTTCTTTTAAGCGTTGTGTAGACTTTTTGTTCTATGTATTTTTGTCATTTTTTCGTTTTTGCCATTATGTTGTCGGGTCTTTTCGACCTTGCTTGTCCCCTTGGTTTATTGCCTTTTTATATGTTCACAGCCATTATCATTTCTTACCTAAATCGACCTGCCATCCACCTCCTCGATCTATCAGTGAGTTATCTCCAAGTTGCTTAAATTTCAGTGGCTGACTCATCAACTGGTACACATCTCTGGATGAAACATCTCGCTTTCTCCTACCGGTAGAGGTTGTCAAGTTACAGGTTCGATCACAGTCGTGGTTCTTCTCTGTCGTTAGACATACCCAAGCGTTACAATGAATATAAACATTTTTGGACATATAAAATTTAAATGTCTGATAGCGGAATCCAAACGTAGTGGAATTCAAAGGAAAGAATCCAAGAGTTGGATCTTCAGCACACCTGCAACGTGAAATTAAATACAAATATTTAAGTATGTTTACAAAAAAGCAAACACAGAAGACCGACAAAATAATGACACACACGTACATTCAATTGATGTTTTTCAACTGATTACTTTGTAAACCTAACATCAGGAATTTTCTTTAGAATTCTGAAATAAGAAACAAAATTAATGTTTTTTAATTTCATAGACGGTTACAACTACAGAGGTCTTCTGATTTAAACTTTGAATGACTTCCGATGATGCATCCATAGCAGAATCTATTTACCCAGTCGACTCATACGTACTCGCCCCGTTTGGAGTTCTTTTTGCGTAGTTGTTTTATTGCGAATAGATATGTTGACACAACGCATTGGTCGATATAGGAAAAGGGATAGGAATATTACGCCACCAATTCTGTAAAAAAATTTCGATTTTTTTTTGGTTAGGTTTATATATAAAAGGGATAAATACATTAAGAATATTGATTGCTATACATCCTCTTAAATGAACATTTCAATTTAATATATAACTCAACATCAGACCACAAAAATTACAATAGGAATTATATTTTCGTAGAAGCTTAATGATCACAAAAATATGCAAATTTGAAATAAACGTGTCCTCCTATGTGTATTTCAGTGAATTTGTCCTTATTGGTTTTTTGTATCAAGAACTTCCTATCCGATATTTTTCAACAAATTGTCGGCATTCCTATGCCAACGAACTGTGCGTCTCTCCTTGTCGACTTCTTCGTCTTTTCATATGGGTCGGAGTTCCTTCATACACTTGTTAAAAACAAGAAGATCAAAGAAGCAAGATCATTTTATTTCACATGCAGATATATTGATGATGTTCTTTCCATTAACAAAACAAACTTTTCTGATTGGATTTCATTAATATATCCCCCAGAACTAAAAATTAAAAAGAAAAACAACAGACACGGCTTCTTCCGCCTCATTTTTAGACTTATACCTCCAGTTTGACATACGCAGTAATCTCTGTACAAGAATCTATGACAAACAAAGTCATATGTCTATACCCACGTTAACCCTACGAGTCAAGTTTTAAAAAATGTCATCTCCTTATTTCCATCATAGACCGATAATTACCTTACTTTACAGTAGGTGGGTCAAACCAGTGTTCACACATTAAGAAAATTGCCATTCATATTTTATGCCGCAATGACATATTCCACTATCAGTACCAGAATTTATGACAAACAAGACGATTTTAATTTTGAAATTATCATTTTCCCCCACCTTAGTAGCAATATACCAACTTCACCTGCATATGGGATATATATTTCTCAACTTATTCGGTATTCAAGAGATTGCAACTGCTACTCAGACTTCGTAAAACGTCACCAGTGTCTGGGTAGAAAGTTGACGAACCAAGGGTAGGTAAAAAAACGTCACGTCCTTTTTCTAAAAGAGTTCATCGGAAGGTACCAAGACCTTGTTGATAGATAAACCGTATCAACTTCACAAATAATACACGATGGTGTTGAAGTATACATTCTGGGTACTGACGTTGTTTATCATCTAAATAACGTGTTATAGTATTCTTTTAATTGTCTTTATGTATATGACTTTTACTGTTTAGTCTGTTTTTGGTGATATCCATTTGACGTGGCTCTGTACTTATACATCCCGTCATTGTGTTCTACTGTTATGGTAAATTTTTGTATTCTTGTCTTTCATTTTTGCTAATGTGCCTTGTCTATATGCCTTTTTGTGTTTCTTTGTTAAATATTTGTTTGTGTTTACAGTGATTACGATTCTGACACAAGGTTGACTGCGGTACCCCTACTTTTGACATTTTTACTTATTATGTCTGTTTGTTTCGTCACACATCGTTGTCAATATAATGGAATTGTATACGACTGTCATACAAGTGGGAGGTTTAGCTTGCTATAAAAATAGATTTAATCCACCATTTTCTACATAGGAAGGAATATGACAGTTGTTATCCATTCGTTTGATGTGTTTGAGCTTTTGATTTTGCCATTTGAGTACGGACTTTCCGTTTTGAATTTTCCTCAGAGTTCGGTATTTTTGTTATTTTACTTTTTATATATATTTCGTGATAAATTGCTTAACGAAAGGTAAGCATCTATTGTATTATGATTTCGGTAGGAGCATTACTTTAGTTTTAGTTCTGATACTAGTAGTTTGTATTCATTTAAAACAGCATTGTTTGCTGTGTTGTGTTGTGTCTATATGTCGAGACGGTTAATCTTTACAACTTTCTTTTTAATGTTGAGTTTTTGTCGTAGTTTATTTTTAACAATTGACAAATGAAACAGATAAATGCAAGTGCAAAGCACCATAAGGTCTCCAACTATGAGCAAAATCATATCGTATAATAGTTGGATGGAGAGTTGTCTCATTGGCACTCATACCACATCTTCTTATATCTACGTAAAGTGCCCGGTATGACCTAATGTGAAACATTTTATACGAAAAAACGGCCTGATTTATGAGAAAACAATCAACGAAGATACAAATATATAAGAGAGCAACAAACTACAACAACTGAATTACAGCCTCAACACTTTCAACAGGTTAAGAATGTGTGTACGTGCTCAATCGCCCCTAACCTGGGACAGTCCAACATAAGAACAAACTGTTAAAATCAGTTGGAAATGTTTTGACTCATACAAAACATTATACTTGTTAATTAACACTTTTTGATTAATAATAATTATATATGCTAGTTTGTTTCAACATGCAAAGCAACCTTGTCAGAATTCCTATTGTATAAAAAGAAATATTAATTACTCTATACATTTATATGAATATCAAGATTCACAATAAAATCATTAACCCATGTTCTAAATGTTAAGCGGCTACCAGAAGTCGTTGCGCAGTTAAGATGTAGCCTTGTGTTTAGCTAGATTTAAAAAAAAAACGTTTGGTTGATAATTAACGAAACTAAGTAAAAGTACAATTCAGTACAACTCAGTTGTGTTCGGTGTACTTGTATATATAATGTCATACCATGGGAGAAGTTATTGGTAGAATACGTCAAAATACAATACTGTGTGTTTTGTATTTTACTGAAATAATAAACTTACTTTTCGCTAAATAACTTAAAATAAACTGGGTCATCTGGGTCGTCGGTCGGTCTTGCTGTACAGTTTGGTACTATAAGTTTAAGATCGGGATGGCCCTCAGTATCTTCCAGTTTCAGTGCAACATTTAACCATTGACCTAATATTAATTCCACTGGTTCATTTAAAGAAGTGATAAACGAATCATTGTAGAATGTCATTATTATACTGAAATTTCCAGGTGCTTTCTTCTTAATGCTCTCTGGAAGGAGAGTAAATCCTTTGTTTATTTCAAGATCACGTGGGAAAATGCAACAAACCTCGACTTTGTATGTGTTTACACGGACAATCTGTCCTCCAACCTCGTCCTGAACCAGTGTGTAGTCATACTTTATAGTGTTGAGATAAATAATTTCAGTGACATTCAGCTATAAAAATAAAGAAAAGTACTTTTAAAATAATAGCATCTTTACCTATGACATACAGAAGACATTCATAATATTACAATATTTTTTCGCAGATGGAATGATTCAGTTTATCTTAAAGTAAGCAAATATTGACCACTTAATGTCTAAGTGATGAATAATGTGATCTGAAAAATATGATGACTAACAGTTATATAAATAATAACATTCAACTACTGAGTCTTATTAACCTTAGATTACCCAACGGACGCACCAAATTTATTATTTGTTATTTTCATGTTTTAACAAACGGTTGATTCCAGTACTGGTGGACTGTTAGTCTCAAATGGTATCATCAGCTCAGAAGTCAGTGCTTCGGTTCCGACATAATTAATTCATATTTTTCTTAAACATGTCAAATTCTCCGTATATAAATTTTGAAAGCATTTAGAAACTTAGGTTCCAAATCATGCATGCAAAGTTGGGATTTAAATAAATTTGGCTTTTCTTTTAAGGGTTCTATTATGTATAATCACTGAACTGATAAGCGATATTATAAAATGTCTGATATTGATTAGGGATTTTACAAAATCACTGAAATAATTAAGATCTTTTTTTTACAAATTCCATAATCATATTTCAGGGTATTTGTAAAAAAATATATTAACTCTTTTCAATTAAAAATATCTTTTGAAAATCATGCAGCAGTTAAACTCAACAAGTTTGGGGTTATTTTAGCCTTTTATATCAATACTAAGAAGTGAACGCAACTTCATGTTCCATTTGAAAAAATAAAAACTGTACATTAGATGAGATTCCGTAAAAAATTAATGATACGAAAACGGTCACTGAAAATGAACGTGCAAACGCTTAGCAATCAATGAAAAAGCAAGCTAATCGTATTTTAAATCGGTCTAATAGAGTTTAAGAAGTAGACATTGGATGTAATGTTGTTATTTCTTATCCTACTTGTTGATCATGGAAAGGGTGACACAAGAAATATATAATGGTAATGGTTCATGGAAAGTCAGAGAAAGCCTTATCATCTTGCTACCAACCATGTCTTTGTTTGATGTTTTTTTCTGCTTTGTATCGATCTGATGAGATAAGCCTTTTAAAACTAATTTTTATAGTGTGTTTTTATGTTGTGCTGTTACACCACTGTCCCAGATTAGGGATAGGGTTGATTATTCACAAACTCGGCATGTTTAACTCCGTCGCATTCAGAATAGAACAACGAACGTACTTGATTAGGCGTTCATTTGATTTAAAGTTGTAATTTAATGCCTGAAAGGAATTTTGAGTGAGAAAAAAATAAAGAAATGGAGACGACAACACTGAGACAATAGTTAATAAAATGATACACATTAAAGAAAAGGGACAACAATTATGTACACAATTTTACATTATTGTTTATAGATCTTGTATTGCTGATAGTTTTTGGCAGTTGAAATTCTATCTATAAAGCATACCCAACTATATCAGTCCTGTTCAGGACCGTTAACTCTGTCGATAAATATTGTCGGGTATACAATGTTGTTGAAATCAGAGCAATTGTATTATATGTCTCTGTTGAAATGTATACAATAACAAATTTTTTTACACAAGTTTAACTTTATATCGATTTATTGAATGCCTGGATTTTGCTTAAAATATTGAATTAAAAAAATAAATAATAACATCATATTCAATGAAATCTCGTTTAATTTTTTACGAAATAATACAAAATTCATTTAAATTAAAATTTGAATCAAAATATTTCTTTAAAATAATTATAGAAACATAAATATTAGTTTGATTATCTTTTAAAGCAAAAATTATTTTTTTAAAGATTTTTTTTTATAATATTCATATTTTCTTAAAGTTTATTATGATACATACTTCTTCTGGTTTGAAACGGGGAAGAGAAGATATTTATTTGAACAGTTATGAAAACTTTTGTATATCACAAAATTTAAACTCTGGTAATACATGTATACACAGGATGTTTAATGTCACCTGGTTGCTTTTGGTTTGCACGTCTACCTGACAATATATTGTTATGTAACATTACATCCAAAGTCAGAGTTCACCTGTTCGTCAAGTGATGGGATTTTGAAGGTATGGAATATTTATCTATAATAAATGTTGGGATTTTTTTCTCTCTTGGGACGTAAATATTTTTTTGTTGTAAAAGGAATGTATAAATATATTTCTAAAGAAAGATAAATTATACAGAAAACAGGAAAAAAACCTTTTAAAAGAAAGAAGAGAAAAAATTTTATTATAAATTTTATTGTTAACTATTTTCTGGTAACAGTATATCCTGGATATCTGTCAAAATAAAATGTTCCCGTGTCACACTTAAAATAATATTTTTTTAATCAATAAATTTTGAAATCAATCATATCGAAATATCACCAAAGAAAATAACAGAAACATCAGAGATTCTACATGAAAATTAAATTAAATCAAGGAAAGTCTTACTATACAAATCCTCGATTTGATGCAACATTTCCATATACATCATCCGCCATTTTGAAAAATCCCGAAATATTCACTTTTTTAAATCGATTTTTGACCGAAATTGCCCAGAAATTAAACTGTTTTAAATAGTATTTTTCGCCAGATATATGTTTGAATATACTTAATCGATTTGCAAAGTTTTATTTTTATTAACGGAATTTCTTTATTTGTTATACAAGTAGACATGGGTATCGGTACATTTAGCATTGAGTCAACGGAGAAATAACGAGAAAAAGTACATGTTTTTACGATTCTCCAGTGACAGAATTTAATCAAAAATTAAACTGTTAGGACCAACATTGTTTGATAGAAATATGTTTGAAAATCAAGGATTGATTTGCAAAAGTTAGAAAACGGGTCAGGTTCATGAGAAAACTAAACTTTATTGAAGCACCTATGCATTTTATATGGGGCAATATAATACAAAATGGCGGCTAGTATACGTCACAAAAGTCACGTGATGTCTGACTTAGTTGGATATGGCAGTTACAGTATACCGCTGTTCAAAAGTCATATATCGATTGAGAGAAAACAAATCCGGGTTACAAACTAAAACCGATGGAAACACATCAACTATAAGAGGAAACAACGAAACAACAGAAACACTGAAGTGCAATAATATTTCTACTTTTTAGTCCAAATTCAAATTTTTTTTCGAAAATTACAATTTAAAAGCAATTACTCCTACGTTAAGGGGATTAATGGTTATAGTCATTTGACAATAACTTTAAGTAGTCGAAAAATTGATTCTTTTTTTTTATATTTTTGTAAATCTGATATTGGTAATAATTTTGTAGCTGTTATAGTTTTGAAGACCAAAAAAAAGCAAAAAAGCAAGCCAATAACTCATAAAAGGGGTCCATTTACCATTACAGTCATATAGACATTCTGTAGATTTTGTATTTTTGGTTTCTCTTTCTTATTATTGTTATTTATTGTCATCTATTACAAATTTCATGATTACAGACAAAAATTTAAAAAATTAAAAAAAAAAGACATGTAATTCAATAACTCCTATAATGGGCCAATTTATCATTTCAGTCGTTTTTCATTCCTGTAGATAACAGTTAACAGTGTATGTCTATCTTTTATTTTTCAGATTATGGGCAAACATGGGAATATTCGTACAAAAAATAGTAAATTAAAGGCAACAACTCATATCGAGTTTTTGTGTAGATCTTTTATTGCAGATTTGCACTGCTGCTTACAGTTGTTTCTGTCTATCTATTATATTTTTTAAGATAGAAAGCAAAAGCACTTAAATGTGTACAAAATTGTCATTAAAAAGAAATAACTCCTCTTGGTGATCCATTTATTGATTTCATCATTTTAGTATTTTTATAGATCTTTAATTGCAGAATATCTTTGATGTTTACAGTTTCTGTTTATCTATTACAGTTTTCAGGAAAGAAGACAAAAATGTTGTCATGCGTAAAACAAATCGTCAATTAAGGACAATAACTTCTAAAAGTACTGATCTGATTTTGACGAAAATGAAAAGTAGGTGGATCTTGAAATTATGAACGTATATCTGTTATAAGATTTCCTCTGCTTTTACGACATTCAAGATATTAGACAATTACTTGATAATATCCTATGTTTAATCGTGTCAGTCATATTGATTGATGATTAATATAATTCACAAACTATAATCTTGACACCCTTAGGATCCATCATGACAAGATTGGTTTGATGAGTTTCGATAGTGTCAAAGAAGTTTTGTTTTTAATTTTACAATTCACAACGTCCTTTTTTTTTTAAATATTAAATAGTGATTCCCTCAGATACAATCAATTATCAAAACTAAACAAAAAACTGACAACAGATTTGAGCATTACAAAAATTGATTGATTGATTGTTGATTGCTTTACGCCGCATCAGCACAAAACGCTTTATCGCGGCGGTACAAAAATTGAAAAACTAGTGTTCTTCTCAACAACAAAAAAACAATCTGCAATAAAAAGTTGTGAGTCTATAGGATTAATGGCTATAAACCTAAATATTGCTTGTCGTTGACTCATTCGTTACAAATTAAACAAAAAATCCGCAAAAACACCATGTTCCCCTAAAAATATAGAAAGTGCAAATAGTCATTAGGCATGGAATAAGTAAAATAAAAAAAATACCGAACTCCGAGGAAAATTTACACGGAAAGTTCGTAATCAAACGGCAAAATCAAAAGCTAAAACACATCAAACGAATGGATTACAACTGTCATATTCCTGACTTGGTACAGGCATTTTCTTATATAGAAAAAGTAAAATAACAAAAATACCGAACTCCGAGGAAAATTCAAAACGGGAAGTCCGTAATCAAATGGCAATATCAAAAGCGCAAACACTTCAAACGAATGGATAACAACTGTTATATTCCTGATTTGGTACAGGTATTTTCTTATGTAGAAAATGGTGGACTAAACCTGGTTTTATAGCTAGATAAACCTCTCACTTGTATGAATTTTGATCCATTAGAATCCGGTCACTGATTATAAGAGAAAACAAAACTTAAATGCGGTCAAACGACAATTCGAACGGACGAACGAACACAATTATATCACTTTAACCGCCGTTTTTCTTAAATAAGTGATATAAAAAGATGCACCAAACGAGAGATCACAGATCAACTCATAATTTGCACACTTTTTTCAAATACCCTCTAGCTTACTTGATGACTATACTTACTATAACTTTTGTTCCACAATCTGTATACGGTATGGTTACTGTTATAAAATTAGTAGAATTTTTCATTTTCATATTGCAAGGTCCGATATAAGAAGAAAAGATGGACAAATGTTCCTCTTTCAGATAAGGGTCTTGTATACGACTAAATTGAATATTGAATTTTCCATCTGCACAATACAAATCGGGAATCGGTGCTGAAATCAAAACAAAACAAAAGGAAAGGTCAATGTGATATTCACATGAGAATGTCAATTATGGAAAATAATAGTAGTTGCAAGCATTTGTATCAATAGTAGTAAAACTTACCGAAATGTTAAGTAGAGATAATAAACCACTACTTGTTAGCTTGAAGTAACTATTTAATCTTCCATTATAAGATAATAAGTTATATTTGCACAACAAGTGATATTTTGTTTCTTATCTGAAGCAAAGTGGTGTATCAATTTTATCGAGTCCTTAAGATTTGATTTGACAAGCCTATTCACTGTCAATTAGGGGGGAAACATCACGTATTTTGTAAATGGTTTGTGAAATGGTCCAATGAGATGTTTGCATATGATTTGATTTTCTGGAAATTCTTGAATTTCTGGAAAATTTTAGAGGCGAGGTGGTAATTTTGTCCTCCATGTCCAGGCGTATAGCAGTAATAGAATTTGTCAGACGTAAATTTGTTAAGAATTATCACGAGAGGACGAGAGGAGGCACAAGACGTGTATTGTCCGTACAGAAAATAGAGACGAACCAAATATCTGAATGTAATTTACTCGAAGTTATATGAAACTTCAAATTTAAATAAAAAGTTAAATGTGTTTTATATTCTTGAATGGCAAAGTTTACTATAAAACAAGTATACATGGTCTTTCATTGTAAATGAAAATCCTTTTTCTTATTAAAATCTACAGAAATGTACTGCTGTTGAACTATTGTCTTCCGATACTCTAATTTGCCAATGCCTTTTCCGTTTGCAGTGACCTTAACCACGAGACCTCTCGATAGAAATCCGGTAATAGCACATCACCAGTACGAGGAATAAACCTTGATTAAAATGTAATCAAACATGCACTGGAAGGTAAATAGTGTAAATTGATACTGAAAAAACTATTAAATACACCAGATCCTTTAATAACTGTTATGGCAATGTTTAAGGTAGCACTACAGTCAGACTTTTCTGACTCCAACCAACAGTCTTTAAAGATTAAATTCTCAATAACTACTCAATGGATTTTTATAATCTTTAACTCAGTTTAACGCTGCAATATTATTCCTTCTTAGTCTAGGGATAATTTTGTTTTTTGGTATGATCAATTAAAAAATATAGCTCATTAACTACCAAAATGTGCTCTCCCTATTTGGATGGAAATAGCACATCCATTTCAAATGGTAGTAAAAATTTGTTTTCATCAATCCCTTTAATTGACCACGCACAAGCTACAAAACGTATCTCCGATTTTTGATATATGTCTCTAATTAGAAGATGTATTGATTCAACTGCTAAGTGCCAAACATCATTTCACCTTTCATCTTTGGAGACCCATAAATTCATTCAGAAACAAATTATCCAAAACTGGGACACAGTTTTGTAGAAAATACTCCCTTTAATCACATATATCAGAGCCAAACTAAAGGGGGCACCTATAGAGATTCTATTTTCATTTTTTGATTACAATTCCCATGAAAAATTGTTTTGAAAAATCACCTTAAAACTGAATATCCCCCTTTGAACCCCTATAAATGCAAAATAGATATAAACATTCCTCTGGGAAAACCCTAGGAGTGTTCTGACACCATTATTTCATCATTAGAACCACACAGTTTGTGTCTTTTATACACCTAAGCTGTAAATTTTGCATTATTTGTGCACTGTCCATCCCTCAACAACATTAATTTAGCATATGGCGGGAGTTTGACGTCACAGATTTAACCACCATCTTTAATGTAGTAATGAAATATGGCCAAAGCTCCTCCCCTGTCCAGACTGTATAAGATAAGAGAATATCAATAGTGATCAGTTGCATACAATCAATATTTTACATAATTTTCATTATGAAATAATAATTGTTATTAATGTTTAAAAAGAAAAACATGGTTCTGTGAAATTAACTAGAAACTTAAATCTTTGCAATACAAAAATACTTTCATACTACCTACTGTCCTCTACAAAATAGAACTGATACTTCTCATAGTACAAGTTAAAAAAAACTTTTATCGAGGTGATTTGTCTAGAATAAGGATTGTTGCCGGTGTCAGATTCAGAGACAAATCAATTTGTTAGAGGCATTCATAATTTTGTTTAAGCTACTTTTGCATATTTATATCTATAATATATGCCTTCACTTAAGATTTTAGTCCCCCCCCCCCCCCCAACATTTTATTCTCTTTTGAATTTTCCTTGTTTACCTCCATTATTATGTAAATTAAGATTGATTGCAACATAATAAGATAAGACCACATTATTTTTCTTTTAACAGCTGGACACTTGGTATCAACAGATGATTGAATGGTTAGCTCCTCCCATATGCTCGTATATATAAAGTGTTTGCCATGTGCTTTATACATAATTTAATTATTAATTTACTCCCTGTTGTGACATCATAATGACTTTGGGATTTTTACAAATTGTTCAATTGGATAAAAACTTTAAAATAATGTGATAAAAAAAATCACTAAAAAATCTTCATTAGACTGTAGAGCTACCTTAATTAACAAAACAAACGCATGGAAAATATAGAAGAAAAAAAAAATGACATCACACTATCATCTCACTTACTTTTCACATGATCCCTGATTCTGTGTTGATTGTTTGTCAATGTCGATTTTTTTTATCCAGTAAACTTCATCAACAAACCGGAAGATTAATTAGAAGCTAAAGTTTGAGATCAATACTCACTGAATGACATTCTTTTTATATGCATTACTGCTTTTATTGTAATAAAAGTAATAAAAAGTGCTTAGAAGACTTAGTTTAGTATATATGCATGCATTGGTTCATTTCATTTCATATGACTTTAAGCAGGAAAGTGCATGTCGCGGCGATATTAAATTTTTGCAGGTCGCGGTCAATTATGGAAAGATTATTTTTCGATCGAAAGATTACAGGATTTGTCAATAAGTACAATCGGGTTTTTTTTCAGACATTGAATATATTGACGTTCTGTGATACACCAGTTCAGCTATCTTAGGTATACAACACAAAGTTCGCGGAATAAATTTCAGTTTAGCACTTCAAAACGTCTATGGTGAATCAGAAATTAAAGCGGACGAAAAAAACCTGTATGCTACCATTTTTATATTGAAAAGTATTGTAGATTATTTCTTTTAGACGATTTTTCAATTTCACATGGGGAATGGTGGTATACAAGGTTGAAAAATCAAAAGTTTTGATAGAACTAATTTCAGAAAAAGATCGAGATTTAAAATTATCCAGAAGTTCTTAAGAGTTTTTTAAAATCCACATATGGTTAATACCACTACGCGAGTAAACAGTTTCACAGTATTTCTGAAGACCCTCTTTCACCCCCAGTTTTTGGTGGGGTTCGTGTTGCCTAGTCTTTAGTTTTCTATGTTGTGTCATCTGTACTATTATTTGTCTGTTTGTCTTTTTATTTTTGGCCATGGCGTTGTCAGTTTGTTTTCGATCTATGAGTTTGACTGTCCCTCTGGTATATTTCGTCCCTCTTTCACTGCTGACAGAATTTTTGTCAATCTAATGGACAATTATTTAGTCGAACATGCAGATGAGCCGACAATGTACCGTTGTTTGTACGGAATTTTGTGAAGCTTAGGTATCCAATACAAACAAGGTAAGTCCTCCAATTTGTTTGTCAATGCAATGTTCATTGAAGTCATGAAGGACTTATGATTCGCCAAAATCTCATCCTTGTCAAATGATATTTTTTTGTATGTGGTATTACCCGAGTGCTCATTTATTCCTAATTCTTTTACAAGACACTCGTAGTAGTACGATTAACATACAAAGACAATATTATTTGAAGCTTTGTCCGCAGGAACAACAACATACTTATCATGAAGAGATGATAGACATTTCACAGCCTCTTTGTCTCTGAAAACGGACTTTGGTCGATCATTCACACAGTTTTTCAACTTATGAATGCGACGTTTTATCAGAGACCTGATTGTTTTGTTCCAGTAACAAGTGTCCAAAGTGTCCAGTTCAACTTCTTCTCGTTTAGCCCATGCTCTAGCGTAGTTCTCAATGGAATCAATAATTATTTTGAAGTTATGGTTCCAATTGATGTGTTTGGGTTCTCTAAACTTAGGACCATGAGAAATCACCTTTCGGAGATTTTCATGTTGAATTATGTTTACGTCCCCAGTAATAACATGGCCAGAGGGGCTGTTATTATAAGGCAATTGGAAACAGTCATGTGTCAGAGGGTTTTTTAAGTATTTTTCTAAATCAAGGTCCTGCAATGCTTGTTTATAGTTAAATATTTTGGGTGAAAAGTTATGGTCTAAAGTAGGCAACAAACGAGATCTGAGATAAGACAAATATAGACGGCAACTGCTGTTTTAGGATTCAGATAAAGCAGACAACCTGGTTAAGGAGAAGGGTGAGTGCTCGCATATTAAGCATGTTTTACCCAGCCATATTCTGATTGCATGTCCCTAGATGGGAACTCATAATTCAGTGGCTGTCTATGTTCGCATATGGTATTTGTTTTTCGTTTATTCTTTTTAGCATTAAACCATCCGTTAGTTCCCTCATTTGAATCATTTCACGTTTTTTTATTTATTTCGGGGAACTATATAGCTCACTATACAGTATGGATATCGCTCATTGTTTAAAGCCGTACGCTGACCTACTTTAAATCTAAGTCATTTTTTGTTCTCTGGTGGTTAGTTGTCTCACTGGCAATTATACCTTATTATCTTATTTGTAAACTAATTGTGGCGGCATGGATTGTGTTCTGGCTCAACATAACTTTTCACGAATGATTAACAGATGTCAACTTAAAAGAAATATATGGTAGAAAGTGTAAGCAGGTAGAGAGAAACATTAATAACTGTACAATATAAACATGATACTTCATATTGAGGTCTACCAATTGTTTTTATTTGAGAACAAATCAAATTGATCTGTTGGTTAAAAGGACTTAATTCACCAGCATTTTCAGAGAGTTTTTACCTGAAAATCATATTCTAATGTCTATCAAAAAGATATCTGATTTTCAACAGATACATTTTTCTAAATGCGTTGAAATCTATCGATCAAAATCTATCAAGTTTTGTATAGAATGAATTTGAGCGAGACACCCATTTGTCAAATGTGTTCATGTAATTATGCATGAGGAGTTCGTGGAACACTTCATACTCGAATGTTCTGAATATACCCCTATTCAAAATAAGTATTTTTGCCGATATAAATGAGTACCTAAGTACTGACTCCCCTGACTTTTGCTTCAAAGAGTTACCGTCCTACGATAAAATAAACATACTGCTGGGTGAATATTTTTATCATGTAGATTCAAATGTTTGTAAACATGTGGACACTTTTAGTAAAAAAGATGTTGAGTGAAATGTACACTTACAGGTCTTCGATTTTAGAAAATTAAGCTAACTGTGATTTGCGTGTGCACTAAGATTTCTGTGATCTTTAAATGTTGAGATTTTATCTTATATAATGCTGTTATGTCTTTCATGAAAGGTGACTTGTTTTAAAGGGTATCGAGTTTTAACTATGATATTGTCTTATGTGTATCTAATGTCATTGTACACTATTCATTGTATATGCTCTTAGTCGCATTTGTTGGTACCCTGCCTGGAAGTGCCCAAGTTGTAAAGAAGTAAATATCAGCATAACAATGTTAACTCTGCAAATTTGCGAAGGCACATTTATGTTCTTCCCTCGCCGGGATTCGAATTCATGCTATTATATTTATATATCGAATGTGCTTTCATAATACCAAATAACAAAAAATATGGTGAGAAAAACTTCCATGCATCATTAATTACGTAAGCTTTTGTTTTTTAGTGTTTTTGTGATTTACTATGGAAAAAGGGATTTTTTTTTATCATATTTGGAAGTTGTTTTGTTTTTATTTCAGATGCGCTTATTTGGGTTTCAATGACTTTATTATTAGTTACAGTACACAAAGTGAAACCTTTCAAGAAACAAGCATCCGAAGCACAGAAGAGCACCGAAAGAAAATTAAACATACAACAGTAAATACAAAAAAAAAACTTATTCATCAGACCTTGTGTCTACCTGAAACGTGATACCGTTAAATTTGAAATAATTATGTTTACTCCCTATAATGTATTAAATTGTTTCAGATAAAAGTGATACTTTCGACATCATTGTCACCTTAAGATTACAGCGAGAATTGCTGTCCGAAAAACATACATTGATTCTTAAATAAAATGTGTTCCGAGGCCTAGGGTTACAAATACATCTGTGTTTGTGGTTTCTTACGTCAAAATTATTTCTACTTTCTAAATAACAAACTATGGTAGATGTAACTAATTACTTATAACATCTAATAACATTTATTGATAAGGGCATCGGTGGTGGGTGGGTCTAAGAAGTCGAACTACTATATCACTAGCTTGTCAACACTGAGGTTGTGATTTCGAATCCCGCACGTGGCAGTTGCGCTGGACTTTAATCTTAATTGACTAGGATTGTCAGTTTTTTCTACCGAAGGTCGATGATTCTCTCTGGGCACTCCGGCTTATTCCACCAATAAAGACTGACCACCACGAAATAGCACAATAGTGCTGAAAGTAGAGTTAACACCAATGAATAAATGGACCAATCAATCATTTTATTATAATCAGTGTACATGGCTATTTTCAATTATTTCGACTATTAAGTAATATTATTGGTCGTTTGGTTTTAAACATCATACATAGGAAATAAAACAATAAAAAAAAATATTTGATGTAATATCACAAACACATTGACAGAACCTAATCAAGCTTTGGATCTAACATTTAATTACAAATAGAAAGGATGTTTTAATGCTAGACTTGTTTGGATTACATGTATTAATGAGATGTATACATTACTTAAAAACTTATTTACTTATTTAATTTGTAAATTTCTAACGGGAAACGATATATTTATTAATTATGATTTCGTCCATATAAAAGTTTTACTCCTTTTTGTGTATCAGTTTTAGTTGATGAACTGTAAACATTTAAGTTAAAAATACATTATGTCCATGTAAAGAAGGATGATTAAGTTTTTTTATTCCTGCTCTACTGTAAAATTTTCGGATATTTTTTTCTAAATTCAAAATGTTATAACCAATATCGTTTAATTCCTGGACTTAACAAGCTCAGATATTTAAAAATGAATAAATGGAGGGTTCTTTTTGTGTAACGTCATACATGATATTTTATATTTTTATCAAGTAATAAGACGATCTTACCGGCTAGTCGTGTATCCTGAAGTTTTATACAAGTAACGCTGGCATACTCCTGTTGTGCGACGTCGCAGTTGTGATTTCCTAAACTAGAGTTTTTGCACTGGTCGATGTCAGTTTCATTACCGATACATTCTACATCATCGAGATGAAATCTTTCGCTTACGTTAACTTTACCATGATCAATATCTATAGGTGCACCTGCTTGAGCAATGGCAGGACTGAAAATAAAGACAACTAACTGTTAATGTTTCTCTCTTATACATTTAATGTTTTCGTTTTGGGGTGGTTGGATACCGTGTTTTCTTTTTTCTTTTTATTACGGACACTTATATTATAATACACTGTCACAATATATATTTTGTTTCGTCAACTTACTCAAAGCATAACATATGGCATATAACCCGAGCATCTTGTTTTCCCCAGAGATCGTCACATATCGATCCCCATTGACCGTTTCTCAGTATCTCTACAAATCCTACTCCGATTAAATTGTCTGGTCCGATTAGACGTGTGTTAAGATTTCCGACTTGTGGATTACCTGAATTGATAGAAAATTGTACAAGATAATTAATGACATTTTAAAGTAGCTCAACTCATGTTTATTGAGACTTTTACATTACAGTTTCGTTTATATGTTGCAAAGCGAAGTCATGTACTAAAATAAACATGTAATGCATAAATATCAAGTAATAAAAAATGAAAAAACAGACCGTACCGTATTCATAAAAATTATGTTATCATCGGTTATCTTCAAATCGATTTTAAAGGGACATTGGCTGTCAAATTCATGTTCACCAATTTGACTCAAATTTTCATATTTGATTTATAACATACTAAAACGCATATCCAAACTATAAAAAGTTCAAAATAAACAATTTACAAGGCATGGGCTCGAAAAAGTTTATCATCGTTTCGTGTGCATTTTAGTCTAGACGACATCTAATTAACTATCAAGTTGACCTCCGAAGACTGCCGACGGTCATATAAGCGATATAAACAAAATTATAGATATAAATAGATAGCGAATTCGTGCAACTAGATTTTTTTCTATGTCTGTTTCATTTCATATTATAGGTTAAAAATATATGTTAATCGTCGTTTTTAGCTGTATAATTTTGAGTTTTTGTCGATCGAATCAGTCATTACTCAATCAAATGATTTACTTTTATTTCATTTTCAATGTTGACATTCTTTTCCTTTTAATAGCTCATCTCTAGCTAATGAGTTAAATTGAAGGTCACATGAATACGGATTCAATGAAGTCGAATTATTTACTTGCAAGTGAAAACTCATCATCGATGTTTTTTAGCTTTTTCAACAAAACGTTACTGGCTGCTAAAAACGAATTATTACTTCACTATTTCACTTTCGTTAATGATTGACAAAAAAAAAAACCAACATTTTAATGTTTTTATATATCTCGTAGCTAGTGCCCCTTTCAATAGGTAGTGTCATGGGAACATGCCGAAATCCTTGTATGGGGTAACTGACTTTCACAATCTGAACGCTTTCTAACTGAACAATACCTGAGCTTGTCTTCGAATAACCAAATGCACTTTTATGATACCTATTGCTCATTAATCAAACGGGAGTATACCAATCAACCGTTGTGCTTCTGAATAGTACAGTAAATGTGCACGTTGTTGGTTTCAAGAGACATAAATTCTTATTCAGTTTAGATTTTTTAAAAAACCTGTCGAATTTACGTGGGGACTCGTGGTTTTTTTTTCTTGTCACAAAATACAGAAGTGTATTACCTGTGATGAGGGTTGATGTGCATACTGATGTGCACTTTTGTCAGCTTACACATCTATAAAGCATGAACATAAGTATTGCATTGATACTCGGATTAGATACTCATTTTATTCATTTTAATGGATAGGCTTACAAGTGATAGCAACTGGTCCTCGTACCAAAAAATATAGAAAGCCAAACTTAGTAAAGCAGTTACTCTGTTTTAATTTGAAAACAAGAGAACTTGAATTCTGAATATAAAGTGAAACATTTAACTTTTGGAAACCATTGTCTTTAAAAACATTTTACAGCAGATTTAAGTCCAACTGTAATTATTTTTATAAATATCTGATACATCTGGTAATTTGAACAAGAAAAAAATGTCCGTTTAAAATGTGTAATAATTTACTTCTACACCATCTTATATGATATATATAGTGAACCCAATCGGATATATCATCTAGAAATTGACATAAAAAAATAGAAGGATATCACTCTGATTTGGACAGGAAATAGTCAAAATTGTCTAAAATTGTATATACCTTATCAGTTGCCAAATGTGAATAAAGAACGGTTTATATATATGGTTCGATAACCTAAACATATTTAAAATTTACCATATATGACAAACACAAACACTTTAATGATTTTTAGATTGCTGCCTAACAGATATAAAATAGAAACCAAAAATATAAATTTGAACAAAATTGGCATTGATTGTAAGAAAAATCGTCCAAAGCTGTAAATTACCGAGTCTTTAAAGATAATTTCAGTTCGGAAGTTTATATAGATATTTAGTCTCACAAAATTCTAGTAGAATTTTACAGCTTAAGAACAACAAACCATAAGTTAACTATTGAAGCTAGCAGACGGTATAGGAAGAACAGACAAAACAGAAAGTGTGTGCTCTGAATTAAAAATAAAACTGGATTTGAGTTTCACTTTATCTTTACAGCGACCATTTTTTTAACAAGAAATAAAATATAAGATACAAAGATATAGTAACACCAGACAAAATATTTTAGAATACAAATTAATGATGTCATCAAAAAAGGAAGAAAAGCTTATTAAACTTTGCAAATTTATCAAATCATAAGTAAAGCTGTGTGTACTCCAGGCTTCTTCTAATGTGAGTCCAATCTTATTTTTGATGAAGAAATGTCTTGTACTAATTGTTGTTTTCTTTTTGTTTGTTATTCGTTGTATAAACTATGCATATGTAATCCTCTTCGTCAAAATTATGGTTTATTGAGATATAAAAATACCAGTCATGCTATTATGCTATTATGTATTGCGTCCCTTAAAAACTTTGTTGAAGTACAGTGCTGTCTATACACAGTACCAAGTAAGGAATGTTAGTGCGACCAATCATATCATTGTAACCTTAAGATATATTCAACCGGCTTCCAATATTTTCAGTAGCTGTTATCACATGTGCTAGATCATGAAATATCTAAATTGTAACAGAGGAAATCTGAATTGACTGCAATTGAAATATTTAATCAGTACCTTATAAACCATAATATCTGAAATATAAGTTGAAACGATTATAAGGCATAATGAAGAAGTCTTATCAAATAAAAAAATGCAGAAGATGAAAAAAAAACACCTCATAATTTAGAGGCATTTGTGATATCAATAACATTATCATTGCCAATTTCTGGTTTCTATGAGTTGATTAATGAAAAAATGATGCATGCAAAATGACTTTTAAACATACACAGGCAATTTTTTCCAACGTGATTTTAACATGGGAATCACGTGATATTCACGTTTTCCACACCACGTGAGTACAACGTGAAACGAGCAGAAACGTAATATTCATGTTGTGAGCACAACGTGAAATAAACGTTCGTCACACGTGATATTCACGTTGTATATAAATCCACATAATATCAACGTGATAATACAACGTGATATTCACGTTTAATATAAAGCCACGTGATATAAACGTGATAATACAAAAAGACTTTTATGTGAAGCAGCCACTAGGAAAAATGAAATATTGTCTTTGTTGCACTCATTGACATATCATTTTTTGTTCTTGGTCATCTCTATTTGAAGATGTTTCTCTGGTTCTTTATGGTAAAAGTACTGTAAAAGTGAGTTATACATCAATAAATTGTCTTATATTGATTATCAGTTACCTCATATGCATGTTTTATTAACCTGTTATCATCCTGAATATGTATGTAATATTTGTGGCTGGATGTTTAGCATCCATTAAAACATATATATATATATATATATATATAAATCCAAATCTTATTTAAACCATGAGACTATTTCTACATGTTTGAAACCTTTCGAATCTTCCTGTTAGTATTTCTTTTTTTGTTTGTTTGAAATTCTTGCTTTATAATTTGTTTGTTTGACAATTCATAAAAAATCTAAAAGTATGAATACCAATGTCAAAGTCAGCTTCATTTTAAATTTATACAATTTTTGAAAAGAAGTCGAATTTGAAATTGCACAACAAATAATGCAAAACCAAATGTATACCAAACAACAATTCAATACAGACTAGCTATTTTACAATGTTCATTCTACAAGAGTTGTGTCCCTTGCAGGTTTACCATGACAAATCTAAAAATAATCAGCTTATGATTAAAAAATTGTCCCTAACAGAGGCATATGTTACCAAATGTTAAAAAAAACAAAACACTTTCCACATTAAATTCAATTATATTTATATTAAAGAATATTCTAAACAGTTAACATTTGAAAAGTTACTGAAATAGTAACAAATAATATTTGATTGTTCCGTCTTCTAAATGCTCCACTCTTTTAAAAGTTTCTTCATCTGAAAGGATAAAAAAAAGAATTTTATTTACTGTTATAATATTATCTTATTTAGGCATACATAATGAAAGCTTTATTTTACTTCTAATATGAGTGTTGCTTTTGCTTTGTAAACAACAATGTGATAAAATTCTCAATATATCTATAGTTTACAACCCTAGTAAACATTATTATTATATACATATGCACTTTCATGGATCTACAATCTGTCATTTCCTGTATCTTGGCATTGCACCAGGTCATGTTTTTCTCTGATTGTTTATGATGTCTTTACACTAAATCCATTAGATGTTGGATGTGTACTGATTGATAATTTATTCTTAGATGCATTTTTTTTTTAAGTTGTTATTGGCTTTGAACTAGCTGTCAGTATCTGCACTTTCAGATTTGTACTAAGTGTCTTTTTGTTGTTGGGATGTACAAGTACCCATCCACGTCCACTCTGTGTTTTTGTTGTATGTATTTCTATTTGTATCCATCTGTTGAGTTCAGCCTTTTTCAACTGATTTTTTTAGTTCGTTCTAATGTTGTGCTGTTACACGGCTGTCCCAGATAAGGGGAGGGTTGAGATCCCACCAACATGTTTAACCCTGCCACATTCTGTATGTATGTGCCTGTTCCAAGTCAGGAGCCTGTAGTTAAGTGGTTGTTTGTTGTTACATATTTGTTTTTTTCGTTAATTTTTTTGTACATTAATCAGGCCGTTAGTTTTCTCGTTTGAATTGTTTTACATTTGTGATTTATAGGTGACTATGCAGTATGGGCTTTGGTCATTGTTGAAGGCCGTACAGTGACCTATAGCTCTTAATTTCTGTGGCATTTGGTTTCTTGTGGAGGGTTGTCTCATTGGCAATCATACCACATCTTTTTTATATGTATCATAACTAATGTGGTGATTTGCCTGTGTAAAATTGAAATGAAAACTAGACAAAGTGACTCCACTCTGAAGTAACTGTATTATAACAAAATCAATGTAGGACTTTCTTTGAGATATTATTGTGT